AGGAGGAAGTGTGTGCTGGGTCATCAAAGCCGACGACTTTCCGAAGACCCGCTTGTCCCCGTTGATGTAGCACGCGGCTAGTTGGGAGTTTAAGGAGACTTCCAATCTCGTTCTCTCAACAGTTCGGAGGGGAATAGCACGCACTGTGCGGTTTATGGGGTGTTAGCCATCTCCACGTGCTACGGCTAGTGTCAGAGCCCTTACCTTTCACTTCCAACTTACATACATTCTTGGGAGGGGTTTCCTTAGGGTGTGCGTACGTGTCATGAGAGACAGAGACAGAGACCGCGAGAAGGAAAGTGAGAGTCCCCCGCCTTCCCAGGGGGGTGGCCATGCCACAATCCCTTTTTCATTCTTACCCCGGGACCTTGAGCCTGCATGCACGTGTGCCCTTTGTGAGTTTAAAGCCACCACGTCCGGGACTTGAACTGTGGTTGGCCGTGTGGGAATCCAGCAACGTAACCACTATGCCCTTGGCTGGTCCCTTAAATACATTCTAAGTCTACTGATGTAGTGTCCTCAAGGCCACTCAAATCACAGGTAGCCGCGAGGAGCTCCTGCGCCTGTCAGCCCACATACCCCACCCCGCCTAGCATACCTGTGCCGTCAGACACGCCTCTCACCATGCCGGAAACACTGTATTGACGCGCTTACCCTGTTGAAGAATGGAAGCAGGAGATTATGGGCCTGCTTGGGTTGTCTCCTTGGCTCTGTGGACTCACACTCACCTGGCATGGCTCGGAGACGCTGGACCACTTTACCTTCTGCAGTGAGCGTGCATGACTTGAGATTAAAAATAAATGAAGGACAGGGGGGACCAGCAGTTAGCGTAATGGCTATGTCGCTGACTCCCACGTAGTCGACCGCGGTTCAAGTCCCGGACCCGGTGGCTTAAAACTCATGCCGGGTGCGTGTGCGTGCGTGCCCAAGATCCTGAGAGGAGAATGGAGGAGAAGGGATTGCGGCGTGACCATCCCCTGGGGGGTGATTTCTCGCTTTCTGTCTCTCTGTCTCTCTCTGTCTGTCTGGCGAATGTACGCGCCCTATAGCGAAAACCTCTCCAAAAAAATTCAAAAAATAAAATAAAATGAAGGACAGGAGAAAAAAGAGAAAGAAGCAAGTCGTGCAAGGCCCTGGCGGTTCTTTCGAGGGTGGGGTCACGCTACTTCCCGCTCTGCCTTCCCCTTCTGAAAGACGGTCCCATATTCTCTAAAATGTTCACACCTGGCCGAGTACGCAGAGGTAGAATAATGCTGCACGTACCGGCCTAATCCGGTGCTCCTTCTTAAAGACAGCCTGGCTCTGTCCGTGCTGCTCCGGCCTCGCAGCGTGGGCAACCTGCGCTCTCAGACGTGGCCCCGCTGTGTTGGCCAGGCAGGCCTCCAGCTGACGTGCCCCGCCCGCCCGGGCGGGGAGGTGGAGGCCCCCTATACCCACCTAGATCTGGATGGAACTTGAGCCCGGGGTCCCCACGTGGGCCTGGCCTGCAGCACAGTGTCTCAGCAGCAGCAGCGCCACCATGCCAGGCCTGGCGAACTTGCAGTAGACCCTGAAGGTCCCTCATCAGAGAGAGACGTATTACTCTGATTTGTATCCCGCTTCATGCGGGCTCTGTCCTCCCTCTGTGTTTCGTCAGGTTTTTAGTTTGCTCACTTTTATTAGTGCATCTTAGCACTTGGATCAACAAAAAGGAATAATCTTCAGCTCTCTCTTCAGAAGTGCAGGACAGACAGTCTGGGGCTCATTTTGTGCGTGGCCAGGGCTATGGGGCAAACGGCCTCTCCCCTGCCCGTCCCCCTATCCAGCTGCTTCCCTGAGCTGTGGCTTTGGGACTCGGGACACCGAGATACTGACCGTGGTCACGGCTGTGGCGCCCGCCTTCTCGGAACCTGACCCCACAGGGCAGATACCTTTGCTTCCCGGTTTAGGGAGGGTCCTGGCTGCTCAGACAGTGGCTGGCACGGTGAGCACCCTTCCTGTCTGAGTGGAGGTGTGACATGCTCCGTGCTGACATGGGAGGTGGGTGACAAGGAAAGGGATTGTGGGATCAGCAGTTAGCATAATAGCTATGTTGCTGGATTCCCATGTAGTTGACTGTGGTTCGAGTCCCGGACCCAGCAGCTTAAACTCACACCAGGGGCACATGTGCGTGTGTGTCCAAGATCCCGAGAGGAGAATGGAGGAGAAGGGATTGCGGCATGGTCATCCCCCCTGGGGGTTGATTTATCGCTTTCTGTCTGTCTGTCTCTCTCTCTGGCGAGTGCACGCGCCATATAGAAAAAAATCCAAAAAAACCAACTCTCAAAAAAAAAAAGAAAAGAAGAAAGGGATTGTACTGGGCGACATTTTAGGAATTCCACGGTTTATGGGGAGACAGCTGACGGCAGATTGCACCTGCGTCGTAAGAATGCTCAAGAAATGTCGAAGGACCACGTGCAGCGAGCTCCGTATGCCCATGGTGTGCGGAGGGCTGGGAAAGCCCTGTGGCAAGACGCATGGAGTCATCGTCCCACATTCCTGGCCTTGGGGACTGGTCGAGAGAAGCTGTGTTGTGTGCAGTAACAGCTGGGGAAGGGCAGGAGGCAGTCCTGAGCCAGTGGGCTGCCCAGACGCCTCCTCGGCTCACAGACCTGTGCTTCAGCTCTGAGCAGACCGGGCTGCGGCTCCGGCCTGTACTGTGGGCTTTGTGGCTGAAGGAGGGGCGGGCCGCAGTTCAGAGGCCTTGCATGCCTTGTTCTAGAAGGTATCGCTGCTCTTTTCTCGTGGATGCTGTGACAGAGGGACCCTCTAGGTCAGAGGAGATGGCCTCACTTCAGAAGAATGGGATAAACAGGCAGGATTTTGGATGACAGCACTTTGCATTCTTTTTCACATCAGCAGCTGTAAGAAGTGCTGAGAGATGTCTGAATTGCTGTCGTGCAACTGTCATGTCACAGGGCCCCCAGCTCCCTAGAAAATCAAGTAGCGAACAGCTAGATGTCTTTGCAAACGGCGTGGGCAGTGTGGGGACGTGGGTGACTCTGAGGTGAGCCTGGGCTCAAGCCGGGGTAGGTGCGTACTCTGCCAGGGCACGTCTCAGCTGGGGGGACACGCCAGGCTGCCCCAACGTCACTCCGGTTTCTGCAGGAAGGATCTTAGCATTTTGCTTTGTCTCATCCTAAGCTAATTTGGCTTAATGCTTTTCATTTTCATGCACCGAGAGCTGAGCTGACGTTAAGGTCAGATTTCGGAGACCTGCGTGAGGTCTGTGCAGAGGCCCGCGGCGGCCGTAGGCTGGGGCCCTTGTCGGGCTCACGCTCTGCCCCCCGCAGGTGAGGCGTGCTGGTGGACCATACATCCCGCCTCCAAGCAGAGATCCGAGGGGGAGAAAGTGCGAGTGGGGGATGACCTCATCCTCGTCAGCGTGTCCTCCGAGAGGTACTTGGTAAGTGGTGGGGGAGGGTTGTGCCGCGGCGACGCGTTCATTCACCAGCCCGTGGGGTCCCGTGACGAAGTACCCGAGAAGTTAGATGGGACCCAGACCTCCGCCCCAGTGGGGCGACTTCACGGGGCCATGTGGAGCGCGGCCGGGCAGGCGGCTCCCTGTGACCTGGGCACGCCTGGGGGCCGTGTGAGGCGCGGACATCAACGCGGTCTCGTCGGGTCTGGCTCCAGAACTTGCGGTCTCTGTCGTGCCTGACAAGAGGCCAAAGCACTGAGGCCGTGTTCCCTGTCTGGACGCTGGTGACAGCAAATCAGTCCTGGAGAAGCACTAGCTTCGTTAAGGAAGGGGATGGCGCCGGCAGGTGGCAGTGGGAGCGCGGGACAGTTGCCGATGCCTCCTGGACCTGGTCTTTACTCACGCGTCCAGGCTGGCTTGTGCTCATCCGCCCACGGACCCACACCTGTGGTCCCGCCGGGCCGCATGGCTCGCAGACCTTGCGGCGTGGCCACAGTGGAGTGTGAAGGATTCCGGGAAAACATTCTCTTTATTTTAAGGTCAAAACCAGATTGAACAAATACAAAACAGCATTGTAAGCTGCAAAAACATGCACATTAAAATGGAACTCCAGGCATGGCAGTTAGCGATGACCGAAATGCGGGTCAGAAGTAGAGCCCGTCACGCGCTCCCACCTGACCTGGCCTGTTGCTCTGCCCGGTTGCTGACAGCCCCGGAAGGCGCTGGGTCCCGCTCTGCTCAAGGAGAACGAAGCAGAGGGCTGGGAGGTCCTGAAAGCCAAGTTCATATTCTGAGAAGTTGCTAATGTGCTTAAAAAGAACTTACAGAATTTTCTGGAAACAAATTAGTTAAACGTTAACTACAAAATCAACATTTCCAGCCATTGATGGACAGCCCTGGTCTGGCATCTCCTGCAGGATGGCCTGTTTCCCTTCACCAGCAGGGTGGCCAGGCTCAGGCTGGCCGCAGGGTGATGTGTCAGCCCTGGCTGTCCTCCGGCGGCTGCACTGCTGACCCAGGAGAACCGCCTTCCCTGGCGGAGGTGCTGGCGGTGGAAGTGGCACTCTGGCCTGGGCCCAGTCCACGGGCAGCCCCGCCTCCCGCACTGTGTGGGCGTCTGCACGATCAGCACCCCCCTGGGTCTGTACTCTGGACACGGCTGTCGGAGACTTACCTGGCAGTGTCTTCTCATTTTCGCTGTTTTATACTCTAATGGGAGACGTGTCTTAATCCTCTTCTCAGGGATATTCAAAGGGAAAGAAATTCTTTTGCCCTTTTTGGAAATTTTATTTTATTTTTTAAAGGTTTTTTTTTTTTTTTTTCCATAGGACATTTGTGTTTACTGGAGAGAGGCAGAGGAAAAGTGAGAAATCACCCCCTGGGGGGTAGCCACACCGCACTGGCATGTGTGTGGATGGTCTGTTCTCCTCCATTCCCCTCTTGGGATTTTTGGTACACATGCATAGATACCTGGCATGATTTTCAAACCACCAGGTCTTGGATTCGAACCATGATTATCCTCGTGGGAGTGCAGAACCTTAACCACCATGCCACCTGCTGGCTCCTGGACATTATATTGTTTAGAGAAAATTTTAGCCAGGCAGCCTACACATTTGGAAAACATACAGGTAAAAAGAGCGGCATGGCTGAGTGGGTGTTACTGACGAGCGCATTCCAGCCAGAGTGAGGCACGATGCACACAACCGTCCGTGTGTGAGCTGTGACCTCAGCCCGGTGTGCACACAACAGCCCCGTCACGGGCTGGACCATGTGCATGAAACATCGACTTGCAATGACTTTCTGTATCAGGACACTTAGGAGAACAGCTGAAGCTTTTAAGATCCATGAAAGCGGCACAGAACCGACAACTGATGACAACAAATCAGAAAGAGACGAACCTTACAACCTGAAGATGCTAAAGGTGCCGGAAAGGATCTGAAATGGGGTCTAACAAGCTGCATAAGTATCTGTTCTAGGGCTCACGAAAATGAGCGTCTACTCGGCTCTGAACCTCTAGGGAGAATGAAGGTGTTTGTATGAGAACCTGCTGAATTGTTTCAAGTTATGTGAACATGGCAACTCCACAGCCGGTCATCACAAACGTTTCCAGCCACGTGCCGTGTCAGGCAGTACCGCAGGAAGGTGCTGACTGTGGGCCTCCCGCCAGGGCGCGGCGGTGGAGCCCGGTGATCCCCGCGTCCGTCAAGGCTGTGGTGGTCGAGGCTCCTCTCTTACTGTGCTTGTTCTTACCCGGAGGAGCGAAGTCCTAGGGGTCAGGAGCTGTTAGTGCCTCCTGTCCCGGCCGATAACGTGCTCGGAGTACTGTACCGCCAGGGCCCTGACGTTTAATAGAAGATAAACAAGTGAGCAGTCGCGTCAGGGCGCAAATCGGAGACTCGCAGGAATG